CCCCTCACTCACTTCCGCTTCGCCCCCCCCCAGCCCCCCGCGCCACTTCCTTCCCCTCGGCCCCCATCTCCTTCCGGGTTCCCTTGGCCGCGCGGTGCATTGTGGGCGGCAACCTATTTCCCTCCCCCTCCTTCAACCTACCGAGCTCCCTCGGGGCGCATGCGCAGTGGCAGCCTCCCATCTTTCTCCCAGCCAGAGCCAGAGCTAGAGCCTGAGCAGCAGTAGCAGGAGCAGCTGATGATGAGGAGAGAGGGGGAGGCTGGGGGACCTTTTATTTATATTGTTAAAGGGACAGAGCGCTAATTCCGCCCGGGATTGGTGTGTGGGGGGGTCGGAGCGAGGAGCCTGAGTTTCTCCCCCCACCCCCAGCCCAGCCAGAGGATCCCAGAGAGACCCTGGGAGAGGAGAGTTTCTTCCTCCCCTTTGGCCGTCAGAGGAGAGAGAAAGAGACCAAAAGCCTCTTAGCAGCGCAGCCCCTTCTTCTGTCTCTGCTGCTGCTGCTGCTCGGCCCTGGCTGGAGACCCCTCAGCACACGCACACGGAGGAGCAGCAGCCAGTTCACCAGCCCCCCCCTCCCCTCCTCCCCCTTTATTACCCTTTGTGTGTGTCTCCTTCTGCACTGCTGCAGGCCGGGGAATAAAAGTGGGGTGCAGCCAAGGTAAGCGTGTCTACGTGGGGGGGAGCCCTGCCTCTGCCCCGCTCTCAGGCTGGCTCTGGGGCAGGCAGATTTGGGGAATGGGGGCTGGGAGGGGGGGTGTTTTCTGTCTCCATCTTTCAGCTTTGACGAGAGAGACTTTGATTGTTTACGAGTCTAGCAAAGTGGCTGATTTTTTTTATTTTTTTTTATTCCCTCCCTCCCCCCTCAGTTTCGTTTCTTGCTGTAATCCCTTGTGCTTCCCCATGGGGAGATGTGTTTATCTGTCACTCTTTCCCCACTCTTGAAGGAAGGGGGTACCTCTTTCTTCACCGCTCTTTATTTTTTCCCCAGTGTTTGAGGAAATGTCATGATGTAGATAATGATCAAGCCTTGCTGGTGGTGTTCTCAAGTATGTCCCAACCCCCACCCTTGCCATCCCCACCCCCTTTTCAGAGTTGCCTTTGATTTTAGGGGATTTGCTGTTTCTGGGAGCAGTATTTTTGTCCTTTAGTTTTTCTTAGTCCTGGTCTCGCATTTTTTTTGTTTCCTGTGCGAAGAGAGAGAGGGGAAGTGTTTAAAAGATGTTTTGTGCAAGGTTTGTCTTATTCTTGATTTCTGTCAAAAGTGCTTATGTTTCCAATATCAAATCGAGAAATCAGAAATCGTAAAAGAACAATGTGGAGTTGAAACATTTGGGAATTTTTGTATCTGACTTTGTTTTGGGTACAGTTAAATGTTTCTTTTAATGACAGTTGGAGTCACTAAATTCAGTTATGTAATGACTAAGGCCATGATCCTACAAAACTCTTGTATATACTTCATTCTAAGCCCACCAATATTCTTAAAATGGAGTTACTAACATAGGTAAATCTTTGCAAGAACAGAGCATATGTACTAAATCTTATATCAGCACTTGATTATCATAAACAGCTAGTTCTTGGTAAGGCTTTCATTTTATTTCTTTTTTTCCACCCCCCAAGATACTCCATTAGGAAGTCCAAACCTTCCTGTCAGTATTTCTGTCATACTAGCAGTTTGTTAGGTTAGGTACAACTTTCAGTTTTAACTAGTCACTTTTTTATTGCTGTAAAATCTACAGGTTGAAAGATTTTTAGTTTCTACAACTTATTTAAATACCTGGTTCTGTTTTCTGGAAAATATTGAAACAATTCTTTAAAAGATTCAAAAGCATCCAGAAGTAAGAGTTTACAAGTTAATGACTAATTGTAATATAACTGTCCTCTTTTGTGCAAGTAGGACACTTACTTTAAAATGATCACTGTCTCTGTAATTTTGGACTTTAACTGCATTTTTTATACAGTTGTCTGTGTTTTAAAGGCTATTCTGTGCTGTCAGTTTTTAGGAAATGCTGCAAGATAATTTGAACTGCGAGGTAGGCCACAAGCTGTGCATTTCACTGGGGCATCACAGCTAAAGTGGATTCAGCATGGTATATACAGTATCTGTATCTTGTATTTTTGGAAGAATATACACAAAGCCTTCAGTTGCAAATGCTGTTTTATCTCCGATCCCATAATTTGTGTCAGCAAAAAATATCTTGTGTAAAGTAGCAATTTTGTGATCAAACTGGCAAAATGAAAATAGCAATTTGATCAGGTTGGAAAGAAAAATAAATTTGGAAGTATATTCTGTGTAAACATTGTGAATAGGAAAGGACTAGCAGCTGTAACTACAGCTCTATAGAATTGTTCAGCTTTTAGTTTTCTGTTTAGCTTGTGAAGGTGAGACAAATTGCAGTATTCATAATTCTAAAATATCTAATATATAAAGTAATATTCCTTCTGAAGGTCAGTAGATAGGCTAGTTAGGCACAGAAACTCATTAAAGAAATGTGGCTCCTATTTAGTTACTTTAATGTAGGTGAAAATAGATATTTCCAGCAAAAGTTTATTCAGGAATAAAAAAATATTTTTCCTGTTTTATACCCACCTGCTATAACATGACTAATACTTTTCTTACTCTGAGGATACAATCTGTATTTTCTGTGTGGCATGTAGAAATCTATAATGTGCTCAAGATTATGCTCCCAATATCTGTATTATTTGAGGTTCTTCTGCAACTTCAACAGAATATAGTTGGTAAATATAGGTAATTCATTACAGAGCATTACAGGGTTGTTTTTTTTCCTGATTTAATTTTAATGAAACCCATAACTGACATGGTTTAAACCGGTTGCTCAGTTTAAGGGGAAAAAAGAATAAAATTTGAGAAATTCCAGTTTTTCAAGTTTTGGATATATTAACTGTATATTTATTGATGTATATTCCTAGAGGGGAACCATTTCTAAAACCTTAAGCTTTCTTAGGCCTGGATCCTACATTCACATCTGTGCATGCAAACAGCATCAGTTTCAATGAGGATCCACTCTCATGGAATAATTTGTAAGATAGAGATTCTAGAGCATAATCTTTTCAGGGTAGGAACATATTTTTATATTTCTGCAGTGCCCAAGACAATAGGCCTTCAATTCAGAATGGGGTTCTCTGGGTATTGTCATACCAAATCCTGCTAAATTTAATTGTATTAGCAGGTATAAAGAAAACAGCTGGGAGCCAACGTATTAAAAACTAGAGATTTTTTTTTTCTTAAGTTCTTGTTCTAGTAACACAACGAAGTATTAAATATTAATTATTGCTTTTTAAGAAAACTTTACATATATTTTCCTCATTGGCATATTTGTATACTTAACATTAGTTTTTTTTAATATTCTTTTTCTTTACTAAAAACTTATTTGGAGTGTTAGTTTTTTAATTTAAAAGAGTTTTTTCATACATAAACTGTACTAGGAAAAGCAACAGAGGTTTTGTTCAGGTGAGGCCCATACTTTAGCATTTTTAAAATGAAAATTGCCAGTCTTTTTGCTTACCCAGTACTAACTTGGCAATGAATTAAAACTTTTTTTGGTGAACATGCTGCTTTTTAGTATAGTTAGTTTGGTTTTTGTAAAGCAAAATTATTCACAAGCAAAACTTAGATTTATGTGATTCGACCCTTGTTATCTTCTTTGGCAGCTGAGAGTGCTCAGTTTCTCTCAAGAAGTGCTTCATCTCTGAGATCACTAACAACATCACTCCCAACAATTTCTCATCTTGTTTTTCACCTGGGTTGACTGCATTAATCTGTAATAGATTTTTTTCTCCTCGTTGTTCTTAGTGATCTTTTGTGAAGGAAATTAAAGCTTAAGAACTTGGTTAACTACAGAAAGTTAACTGCAGTATCAACTTGTGAATCAACAGTGATTCTCTTGCATAAACTTCACTCCAGCATGCCACTCTGTGTGGGTGGGCCTTTGTATATATGTGGAACCCCATTACTTTTTAATATGGCTTTTCTTGGGTGTCAGAGCCCATGGGCAGAGCGCAGTTTGGGATAGGGGTCTTAGTTAGGAATAGCTTGGGATAAATTTTTCAGAAGTGACTTTGGTTCACAGTGGTTGGTGAAAGTTGAGGGGATTTAGGCCCCAAGGTGCCAAAGTCACTTTTTTGAAAAGGAGATTCAGGTCCTTTGTTCTTTTAAAAATGTTACCCCTTGGATTGGTTCCATTGAAATTGATGGCAGTTCCCCACTCCCTCCCCTGGGAACAAAATAAGGCCTGTAATATAGGGTCTGCTTTCTAAATATTTTTGTAAGACCGTTAGTTAGAGAAAATTGCTTGTAAAAACTGCAAATAAGGTTTATCTCCCTGTACAAAAATTGAGGTATGTATTTGTTATTAAATGGAGGATGGAATAAAATTTTAGAAAAAGCTTGAAGGTTCTAAGATACCTCTTGTATCATACATAGGAGGTTTTAGTCTATAATTACAGTTAACACAAATAAGTCATGCTAATATTTTAACTAATTTTGGTAACTTCGACCCATCCAATCCTTCAATTATTAATCTAAAACAACATACTTTATACATTTGAATATAGGAATTTATAAACAGTTTGGGAGTAAGAAGGAATTTCATGCTTTATACTTATGAATTTCTTGGCTCTGCTAAGTTTTTCTAAACAGAATGGAGCGTAAGATTGTTACGAAGTATGTGTGCATACATTATATATGTATATAAGCAAGTCTTGAATTATTCTTAAATTTTAATATTCTTTTCTGTTCCTACAGACCATAACGTTCACGGAACTAATAAAACAATGTGTGAGGTCTTGTACCTCCAAGTTGTTGACTTGAGTCTTGCAAAGGGCAGCAGGGACCAAAGCTGTTATCATCTGCTGGCTTTTCATTGAGTTTCATGCAATAAATTGATCATCTCAGTTCATTCCATAGTTGACATGTGCCCATGTCACAAAAGTCTCCATTATTTTTTGTCTGTGTTATTTGGGAGACTAAAAAATAAGTTGAGGGAGAATGACTGAAAGAGACTCACATCATTGGATGTTGAATCATTTGGAATAGGAGTGAGCATATTGTAATAGCAGCATGAAGAAACTGGCACTAAGTCAGTTTGCTGGAGATTCGCTGGACTTCAGGCTTGTCAAAGTAGCATGATTTTCATGAATGCTGAATGTACTTAAAATGATTTAGGTAAAATAAATTTAAATTCCTTTGTAAGTTTATATTAACTTCCTTCAAAGGTGAAATATATTCTGTCATTACTTGCTGAATATATATGTGAATTTACAATGTTTATTTCATTATACCTCAAATTGTTTACTAAACAAGGGTGGTTTGGGGATAGTGTAGAGGTTAAAATATTAGCTACTAAAATTTTTGGAAACTAAACCCTATGGAACTGATAGTGCTATAGTGTCATTACAGCTGTTTAAGGGAAAAGTCAAACCCATGTTTTAAAGACTGAAAATATCAAGACTATAGGTTCATGAAAAAATGTATTGACATAAATACTTAAATCACCAAAATGGTTTATGATTTATCAAAAGCAAGAGCAGTTGCTTAAAATTAAAATGTATCTTTGATTTTAGGGTTTTGAGGGTTATTGCATCACTAACATGGCTGCTGTAAAAGTCAAACAAATTCCTAAGTGGGGGAACAGAACAGTT